CCTTTTGTAAATCAAAATTTCTCAATCCCAAGAGCAATAATTCTGGAATGCAATGAGGGGTCTATTGTAGCTTTTGGGATTATGTTGGGCTACATTGCTGCCCTAGCATTTATTTGCTTCATATTTGCCTTTAAAGGTAGGAAGTTGCCAGAGAATTACAACGAAGCGAAATTCATCACTTTTGGCATGCTAATTTACTTTATAGCGTGGATCGTATTTATCCCTGTCTATGCAACTACATTTGGCAAATACTTGCCAGCAGTGGAAATCATAGTTGTTTTAATATCCAATTATGGAATCCTCTGCTGCACCTTTCTACCAAAATGTTATATTATCATTTACAAGCAAGAAACAAACACAAAATCTGCCTTTCTCAAAATGGTTTACACTTACTCCTCTAAGAGTGCAGGCAGCGTTGCTGTTAGTCAGGCTTCTTTAGATTCAAAATCTTCCAGCTTCCGAGCCACTATCACAGACTCGTGTAAAACTGAGAATGACTCTGTGAATGGAAACTGCCATTTCCAAGTGCCTGGGCAGTCACTAATAAAAGGAAAAGTTCTTCCTAAAAATGCCGGAAGGACTATGGTCAGGAAAAGAGTCTCCAGCATATGATTGGCCAGTGTTGAAGTACCAGAAGTTAAAAAGCCATTTTAGGGAGCCATTTGTCTTTCAGATCTCTTTCTTTTTGCTATGTCCAAGGAGGGCAGGCCACATGAAACACGTTTTCCTGTACTTAGGCAGTTATCCATTACCAGATCTGAAAGGCTTTCCTAACTCACAGAGTCCATCCCTTGCTTCTGCAAACTTGCTGATGTGCAGTCCCCTTCAGCAGCTCCCTTCCTTCCGCATCCAGCCCACACAGACCTGTGGGAACCAATTCTGCAGCCTCCCTTCCTCAGGTGAGGCAGAAGCATCACAAAATTATTATTTCTCACAGTCATGTAAGTGGGAACACATGAGTTTCCCCACTTCTTTTCCCTCTTTGATACTCAGTTGTTTAAGGAGCTCTTCTTCTCATCTTGGCCCCATTTTACAGATCAAAGAGAACCTTGTCCCAGCCTTTGTTTGCCAAGATAAACAAGTCCAGTCCTTTAGTCTCCACTTTTAAGATAGGCTTTCCATTCTTCTGAACTTCCAAAAGAAACTCTTTTCATCTAGTATAAAGGAATCTTTTTTTTCCCTCCCCAAAACTGCACAACTTATTCCAGATGAGTGCTGCAGTAACATTTAAGTTTTCTTGTGTTTACCAGCATGGCAATGTACTAGAGACAGAGCTATAAAGAAATTAAAGAATTCTTCTTGAGCTCTATAGTTATACATATGTTCATCTGCCTTTTTTCCCCATACTCAGAAGAGACACACTGATTCACCTCATGCACCTCCTCTGATGCAGGGGACCGAGCCCCAGGTGTCCTTTTATTTGAGAGTGTAAAGTCAATGTGTAGTGTCAAAACTTAAAACCACTACTTGATTCATCTCATTACCATAAATAATGTAACGACCAGTATCAGCATGAGGGCATCCTGGAAAATTTAAGGGGGTTGATAGATATTTTTTAAAATGTGATTTTCAATAAGAACATGACAACGCACCATAAGGATACACAGAAATAGCGCAAGGATGACCTGGTATGATCTGCACTGAATGAGTCTCTGCTCTGTAGCACCATGAGCACAGCTGTGCTGTGCCTTCTGTATGAGAGGAAAAGGGCACATTCAGAGAAGGAAGAATTTTTCTGTCAGGATAATGGTACCACAGAGAGTTTTCAGACAGAGCCTAAACAGCAGAACTACATTGTCAATACAGGAACAGGAAAATACTTTTCCATATTCATAAATCCCAGAACATAGAAACTTTGCTATTTAAGTTCTGTACCATGTTACTGTAAAATAATACTAAAATCCTTGATATTGTGTATCTATTAAGGTATTTTAAAGTCATTTGAAAGGCAAGAGTGCAATTCACATATGGATTTGTGTAAATACATATGTTCTGTTGCTGATTGTAGGAATGAAGGTTTATGTGCATATATTTATATGTTGAATGCTATTTATACTTCAGTTGTTGCAAATACTTTTCTGTGTTTGAGATTATGGATGATAAGGTTAAAGTTCCTACAGTGTGACAGCCAATGCAGCAAGAATTCTTGCCCTAAAAGAGAGATGCAAAGCTTACGTTGCACAACTGTCAGCAATCAGCTGGTTAGGAAAGTTAATTTGGCTGGAATATTGTACATGCATTTATTGTTTTCAAAAGTGTTGAGTGTAGCATGCCTTGAAGCTATATGAAAGGGAATGATTAAAGCCATATTGATGTTTAAAATTGAGTTTGCTTACTTAATTTCCTTACCTCACCCTATGAGCTTCTTTTGGCCTTGAACAACAGCAATACATGCACCTGTAAGGTTGTTTCCACTATAGACCTCAGCCTGCTTAGAAACACCCTTTAGACTGAAAGCTGTGTGTGGCAGGGATTTCATCCTGCAGGACAATGAGGAGAATGTCTGGATGAACAGGGCCTGGTGACAGCAGTGTGAAGGTCTCTGCTGAGGTATCTCTGAGGAAATGGCAGAATTTCACATATGGCAGAATTTCAAAGGAGCCCTACGTGCTCCATTTAATTCTCCAGCTACTCAGGTCTTCCGTGCAAAGCACAGTCCATGGTGGAGCAGAGAGGATGTAACAGGTTTGGGAGGTTGACTTGACAGCAAAAAAGAGACCTTAGACCAAGATGTGTTACATGGTTTTAAATATCTTCTTCTGTGAGAAGCAACTGATCATATGTAGGTAGGACGTAAAGGGATTGCGCTACCCTACACAGAGGGTATGAAAAACCTTAAAATAGGAGTTTATTATGCTAAAATAGCATTTGTGCACATTCTCCTGCCCAGGGCAGTAAGTATTCTAGCAATCTGGCTATTCCTCTTGCCAGTCACGGAGACATTAAAGGAGTCTGAAGCAGATTTTCATCCCCAGAGCACAGGACAGGAATCACCTTCCAGAGTCATAGCAAAGTCTTATCCTGGTGCTCCCAGAGCTGTGGCCCATAGGTCAGGCCATGTGAGGCCAAAGGGACCAGCTCTTTTTTCTGGCTCAGAGCACATTCTGCTTGCTTACTTTGGAAAGATCCTGAAACCACTTCTCAAAACACTAACATCGCATAGGCACATTTTCCATCTCTGAGTGCAATAGAGAGAACAAATGTCTCCAAATACAGTGCTGTTCACCGAGAAATCAAATGGGAGAATGCAGTTTGTTAAGGTCAGCAGGAGGCTGCTCTGGATGTAAACATTATTTAACCTTTCAAGGGCCTATGTCATCCATTGTTAATAATGCTAAATGCTGTATTCTGAAACAACTATCATACAATGTAGAGTATCTTCAGGGAGAATGAAGACCATGAAGGCCACCGAGTGTTTGACATCCTCTTGTCCAGAGCATAATTCCCTCAAGATTTCAGTAGCTCTGGCTGTGTAGATGCCTTTCAGCTGCCCACAATTTTTAGAGCAGTTCTTTGGTGAGTGCTGGAAACTACGTGAGCTCCAGGCTTGGTCCCAGCAGCTCTGCTGATGGCCACTGGAACTACAGTGACTCTAAATGTGTGGGTGACCATCAGGAGGGGCAACTGATAGCTGTGGCTGTGATCTCCTCATAATGAATGACACTGAGCCCAGCCCAGATGTCCTGACTCTTCCTACCCTTCCCAGCTGTGTCTTCAGGGACAAGGAACACTGCTTGACACTGTGCCAGCCTCTTTGAGCAAAGGTAAAGTATCATCCTCTATCATCATCTGTTGATGTGTCTTCATCTCTGTGACAACGTTCTGAAAGAGGGCACAGCTGCTCAAGGAGTGTGTGGGCTTGTAAAGAGGTGCATCTCCTCCTTTTTGTTATATGCTCTGCTCCTGAAGAAAAGATAGCTGGAGGTTTTGGCTACAAATAGTTCAAAACCCCCCTTTTGCGCTGTCACACTGAGCACAGGACTTAAGCTGTTGCCAGACAGTGATCAATCCCTGGGGAGTGGGACTTCCTCTGCTCATCTGCAGCCATTCTGGCTTTGGCTGATGCATGTAAAATCTTCCACTGCTTGGTGCCTCAGAAACAGCTCTGTTGAGACAGTCTTAAACCATCACGAATATCACACTGACACAGGCTGCTACTTAGTCTATTCTGTGCTGATTTCTCTGAATGAGTTTTTACAGTTTGTTTCTTTGTTTGATTTTGAGTTTTTTTTGGTTGTTTTTTGTTTGTTTGTTTGTTTGTTTTTGTTTTGTTTTTAAATAAAGCTCTGTCCAGGATGTGAAAAGAAAAACAATTTTTTTTTTTTCAGTTGAAGTAGATGGAAAAACCTATGATGACAATCAGTACATTTGAGCATTCTGAAAGCAGTAAAATGACAGAAACACAGATGTGGGCAGGTTTCTGTCTTATAGAACTTATACTCTACATAGAATCATAAAATGGTTTGGGTTGGAAGGGACCTTAAAGATCATCTAGTTGCCATGGGCAGAAACACCTTCCACTAGACCAGGTTGCTCAAAGCCCCACCCAACCCTCCAGGGATGGGGCATCCACAACTTCTCTGAGCAACCTGTGCCAGTGTCTCACCAACCTCACAGGAAATAATTTCTTCCTAATCTAAACCCATTCTGATTCAGTTTAAGGCCATTACTCCTTGTAATGGGAATACAGGAATCACTACATGCACTTGTAAAAAACCTTTCTCCATCTTTCTTGTGGGTCCCCTTTAGGCACTGGAAGGTGCTTTAAGGTCTCCCTGGAACGTTCTCTTCTTCAGGCCGAAGCTCTGCCAGGCTGTCTTCACGGGAGAGGTGCTCCTGGTCTCTGGTTGTTTTTGTGGCCCTCCTCAGGACTCGCTCCAGCAGGTGCGCATCCTAACATGAAGCTGAACTACCGCGCCTGTTTCCTTAGCTGAGTTTTGCCTCGGACAGTGACCTCTCTTCACTTGAGTTGCAATCCGTGAGTGCGGTAGGTGAACAGGATGCCGTTTGGGGAGAACCGATCCCGCTGGGTGCCGGCGATGGTCCCGCCTCTCCTCGCCTCTCCTCCGGGCGCGGCTGGAAGGGTCCGCCGGGCGGGGTGGGGCGGGGCGGGGCCGGGGTCGCTCCCGCTGCGGCAGAGAGTCCTGCCGAGGCAGAAAGTCCGGCCGAAGCAGAAAGTCCGGCCGAGGCACAGGGTCCCGCCGCTCCTCGCCGTCCTGGCCATGCTGCCGGCGCGCCTCCGCCCGGGGCGGCTGCTGTCCGCCGCGCCGCTCCGCCCGCCCGCGCCGCGGGGAGCCGCGGCCGCCGGGGATCCCGCCCGGAGCCCGGGCACCACCCGCGGTAAGGGGCTGCCCGCCGAGCCGGGGGGAAGCGGAGGCGCCGGGATCGGCCCCGCGGCGGCGTCCCGGGGCTGACGGGGAGATGCGCGGGCGGGCGGCTCGGGACTGGGACGGATTGGAGCGGGGCTGGGCTGCCCGGTGGGGCGGCCGCCGGTGGCATCACAGCTCGGGTGGTCCCGAGAGTTCTCCTGCTCGCCTGGGTACCCACAGGGGAGGTCGAATCAGACCCGCAGAAACGCTCGCTGCGTGCGGGGATATTCCAGAGACGGCGCGGAGGTGACTCTGCGTAGCCGAAACCTGGAGATCTAATCCCAAAATTACTCTTCCAACGACCAAAATGGGTAGGATTTTTCCCTTCTACACCTTGCTATCAGTCACAATTCTCTCTTAGTGCATGGTTTACAAAGTGTTTGGGCTTGTTTGTTTGTTTGTTTGTTTTTCTCTCACTCTTTAAGCTGAGCAGGCTCACAGGGTGGCTGCAAGTTACAAACCTTCGAAGTTTGACAAAAAAATCCTCCTCTGGACTGGACGTTTCAAGACAGAAGAAGAGATTCCTCTGAGGATCCCGTAAGTGCGCTGGCCTTGTCCAAGGGTAACATGGAGCTGAAGGGAAAGCAGTGGTGTGATCCTGATTCTGTGGAAAATTTAAAGCTTTTCCACAGAGCTTAAAACGATCGGTTTTACAACACTGAGACTTGGAAACAAATTAGAGGGCAAGAGAATTTCCTGTCCTGGTTAGAGGTTAAGATGAGAAAATGTTCCTTGCTGGAGTCCCTAGAGCCCGGGATTAAGAACAGATCCATCTGAGTAGACAGCCTTGGTTACATTTATATACTGGTTTGTTTGTTTTGCTTAGTCCTAACATGCAATCAGAGAAGGATGTTATTGGTAAACAATATTTTTTGTTTATAGCTCACATAAACTGTTCTAAGGGAGCTTAGAATGACTACATACAATAAATTATTTTTTATTATAGAATTTGAGGAAAAATAGGGAAGGAGGTAATGAGAGAAGAAGCCCTCATCAAGGAAAACTGAGCACTTGACATAGCCTTAGTCTTCTATTCTTGCTGACCCACTGGACTATATGATCTTTGAAGGTCCCTTCCCTCCCAAACCACACAGACTCTACAGTTCTCTGACTTTCTGAAAATTAGCAACCCCTCCCTAAGGGAGTCACTAAACAGCTGAAACCTCTCTCATGTTTAAGACTCCCTTTTCTTAGGATGTCAGATAGAGTGTTAGCCATCTCTCCAGGATGCTACTTTTTGTCATCAAAGCATGTCCCTGCCTTGGATGATACATTGAGAATAAACAGTGTGCAGAGCTGTGTAAAGCAACAGGTACATCCTCTGCCTATTCTTACTGGTTCCTGACGGTTTCACTGGAGTTTGCTGAGCTGGACAGTGGCTTTCTGGACAGTTTAGCCTATCTTGTGCTGTTAGTTTCACCATCTTCCTCTAGAGCAAGGTTCAGACATGTCTCAGGAGCTGTAAATGCTATTCAACTTGTCAGGAGATGTTTATAAAGATATGGCATTTACCAGTCATACAGACACATGCACAAAAATCACTCCTTTCTGTCTTGGCAGGTGAGGGTCTCCACTGTGCTTTCTGAGTAAGCAAAGTATTTTTTGCTTTATAGTAAGACTATACTATACTATACTATACTATACTATATTATACTTTATTGTAAATAGTAATATACTAGAAGTAGTTGATTGGTAGACATTGAGGCTGAACTGTGGCACTGTTTTAATGCTTATCAAAAGAAGAATTGTGAAGTGTTGCTACCTGTGAACACAACCTAACTGCTGAAGATTGTTTGTACTATGAAACAAATCTGCAGGCTTCATTCAAGGTTGTTGTGGTTTCTTTGTTTTTTTTTTTAAAGCCCCAGCTGTTGCTCACTTCAGCAGATGTTTGCCTGGAGTCTTGATTAAAGACTGAATAGCAAAGACCCTAATATGCAATTAGTGAAGAACATTGTAAGGTCTGTTTTCCTTAAAGCAGATGCAGAAAGCAGGGAGAAAGTGAAAATCTGCCTCAGAGGAGTTTCAATTAGTGCACTGTGAAATATAATTTGGCTAATACATCAGACTAATAACATTTACGGCTTTGCTTTTGTTACCACAAATGGATTACTGGATTAATGATCCTACGTGCCAGTCTGATGCGCAGCTTGTTTTGAAGATGATTTTTATCATTGTACAAACCAGAAGCAGTTCCTTAGAACTGCAGGCATTGTTAGTCACCTGCAAGAAACAGAGTGTGCCCAACGTGCTCCTCCTGTGTGCGCTGGCAAGGAAGGGCTGGTACAGCACTGCCACTCACGGGACCTGTCCTCTCCCACCACACCAAACCTTAGAGAGAAGCACTGCAGCCCTCAGCCTTGGTGCAGGCTTTCATGGGCTATGTCAAATCCCCAGCTCTGCCCCATCCCATCGTGTTAAAGTAAGTCTAAAGATTTTTTGAAGGAAAGAGAGCATTACACCATGTTTACTTAGAACACGGAATCAATTCTTTATGCAACTATTCTTTTTACACATATAGTTGTGGGTTTATACATATGTATAAAACATGTACTTATATCTTACAAATATCTATCTATCTATCTATCTATCTATCTATCTATCTATATCTATCTATAGCATTCCCATGACGAATTATGAAAGGAAAATGGTGCACAGCCAGTATTATTATGAATATCTTAAAAACTGTACTCCCAAGTATAATGTTTGACTTGGAAAAACTTCGCTGAATATTTTGGGGCAATTTTCATGATTTCCTCTACTGCTGGTTCCCAGGGCCATGCTGCTGGCTCAGAAGAGAGGAGGGTGGAAATGGGAGCTGTACCAAAGCAGATTTCTGGGCTGTAAAATGTCTCCTTTGCACTGACTACTGCCAAACAGAGGACAGCAGTTTTCACTGTTGTTGCCTTTGAGGACCAGCAAAAACAGTCCTGTAGATTGTTCTTGTTCAGGTGTGTGCTCCTGATATAGCGTGGTGGCTGACATCAGCTGCCCACTTTCTGTCAGGCTGCTGCTTTAATGAAGAACTAAAACCTTTAACTCATAGTAGTACAAACTCTGCTTTAATTAACAATCCAAGGATGTAAAGTTCTTAGCTTACAGAACACCATCTGAATAGGTTAGATGCAGCAGTAGTTGATTTCTAAAATTAACTTTGAATAACGAGAATTTGCTTTTACTCCATCCGACATCACATATACATCTCCATGTTTTAAACAGATAACCCCACTCAATTTTCACTATGTTTAGAGTTCAAGGTATGATTTCTGGTGTATTTACCCCAAGCATTGAAATGCAAACACTTATTGCCAGAGCAATGTTTCCCAGGTTAAAAAACCCCTAAACAGTCTAAATCCACTAAATGTTGCTTTGCCATGGGAAATGGATTAGGATCAGAAAATGGCTGATACATAATTAACCACAGCAAGCTGAAGATGCTTGTTTCAGAAGCTAATTCTATATTTATTCTTAAATTGTGATGTTATGTCTGCAATGCTTTGAAAAGATACTTTGCCTTTTTTAATGACTCAATTCAACTACTTTAATTGCAGGCCAGAGATGATAGACAAGGCAAAAAACAAAGCTCGAGTGAAAGCCTGTTACATCATGATTGGGCTCTCAATTATTGCCTGTTTTGCGGTGATTGCTTCGGCTAAGAAGGTGAGGTATGACCGTGTAGCACACTTTAAAAGAATAGAATTCTGTGAAAAGCACACAAATCTAAACCAAGAGCAGCAGCTTGGAGCTGCCCAAGCTTTAGCTAATCTAGTCTCTGTCACCCCCACCACCCTAAGTGGCTGTTGCCCATTCCCGAGGCTGGGTAGCTTTCCCTGGGTGCATCCTTTTTCCTATGTTGCTACTTCCTCAGGCTGCCGCACGTCACGAGTCCTTAACGAGCCTGAACTTGGCAAAGAAGGCCAAGTGGCGGAAGGAGGCTGCGCTGGCCGCGGAGGCAAAGACCAAGTAACTCCGTCTGAAATGCTCAATGTCCTCGGAAAAGCAAAATTAACTGCTGCTGAGAGCAAGTAGTGAGTGTCACCCCTAAATGGACAACTGTAGTACGCACACCCTAGAGCCAGTAAGGGCAGCTACAGCATCACAAAAAAGAAAGAAAAAATGGCTTTCATTAGGAAGATATTCAGGATACTTGGTCCATATAATTAAAACTATTTAGAATGTTTTGCATATATTAAAAGCAGTAATTAGTTTTAAAGGGGATGAGGTAGTTTCCTAAGAATGTCAGGTACCTTTGGTTAGATAACCACAAAATATTTACACCCAAGAAATTTTCTGTCTGGTGACAGCGCATAGTTTTTCAGTGCACAAATTGCCACTTGAAACTCACTGGCATCAATGCTGTATTCAGAATGGTATTTGCATTTTTTAGCTTTAAGAAGCAACACTTATTGAATCACTAAATAAATACAGTAAACATCTGTAAAATAGGTTTTATTGGTTTTTGTATGGTATTTGGAGATTTAACATTCCATAATATTGCATACTACTAATATGTGTTCTGTTACAGTAATGGGCCTTTGGCCTGGATTTAAAGATGCACTATTACTATCTGAAGTTCATACAGGTAATTTAGTTTTCCCACATTATATATGTAAGACATTGTGCCATAAGTAACTAGAATGTCGCATTCCAGATTTCAGTGAAATCTTGAGGTCACAGTTTAAGTCCACGTATCCATCTGCAGACCTATTACAAAAATCCTCAGCTGTACAACTTAATAAATTTTAACCTACTGAGAATTAATCATGGAGGAAAGACAATAGTGCATCTTTACTATTTTTTTTAAAGACAGGCCCAACAATAAATAGTTTCCAGTTGCAAACTTGTTCTACAGCAAACATTTCTGCGCCAACATTATTACTATTTTCTGATTGCTGCTAGGAACAGTGTGTAAAGCAAATACTAGAAAATTAAAAAGCTGTAAGAACCAATCCTCAGACAAAAGTGCAATGATGAAAAAATTAGATATGATTCAGTGTAACAAGAGTAGGGAACTATTAAAAAAAACTTATGCTCTGCATAGTTGCATAGATTAGCTAGTTAGTATTCACATTTAGGCAGAACAAATGGTACCCTTTTAATTAAACCCAAACCCCTGTATTTTTAAACAGACTTTGTAACTGATGGGGCACTTCAGATTGCATATTAAAATGCCAAACTTAACGAGATTTTCATATCACAGTTTTGTTTCTCTCTCCATACTAGTTTCATCTGTTTAGGTATCATCATAATCATGTTCCTACCTGCAAACAAGTACACCAGAGCTGACCTTAAGTCATAATCTCTGGTTTCATTTTGTTCATTTATGTGCTTCTAACAAAGCATGATATAAGCCCAGTGATAAAACAGATCATCCTTTAAACAATTTTCATTATTATTTTTCAACAATATCAGAGTAAACCAAATGTTGAGTTTAAACAGATTTTCATCATCCTAAGTCCATCAATTTTAGTTCCCTTTCAAATTGTTCCATTTATATTTATCAGAGGCATGAAATATAGTTTGCCTAAATGTGTAAAGTGCAGTCACTAACTGTCCACAAGATAGAATAATATATCCACACAACTGAAGACATACTTTCAAAACAAATATAATACTTTAAATCTCCCCTCTTTTCTTAATTTTCAAGTCTTTCAATTAAGATTTCATAGTTCAGATTTGGTTTAAATAAGAGAGGTTTATAAAGGTAGTTTTACAGGGTTCTCCAAATAAAAAGCAGGCACAGCTGGTTGTTATCAAAACAAGGTTGTTAGAAACAAAGGAATACCCTGTCACCTGAATAATTTTCTTACACTAGAACACTGAAATTCAGCATTTGCTAGTAACCTTGGTAGATTTCCATGATTGTTACCCTGTTCTTTGATAGATGGGGAGTGGGCAGATCATGGGAAAGAATGAGGGTTGGTGTATGAAAACCTAAAACTATGAGAGTAAAAAGGGCATAAGTACAATCACCTAACAATATATGAAAATTTGGCAGCTGTACTCAATATTATCACACTATTCAAAACTGTTGTATGCTGTACAAATCTAGGTTTAAAGTGTCATTTGCTAAAATATCTCATTATTCAGAGTTCATAAAGTAACAGCACTCCTATATACACTTCTTACACTTCTATCTTCCACTAAAAAGACTTCAAAGGGAGGTTGCTTCCGTCCCAGTTATATCTTAGTCAAAACTGACCATTCATTTTAGAAAATCCACTTCAAGTCCCACATTCAATTACAATATAGAATATATTGCTGTAACATCAAAGTGAAACATCTTAGAATCTTAACTTGCATGTAAAAAAAAAGTCTAAATATAAAATGGTACTGTAAATGATACCACCTTTAACCTGTATTTTTCAGTGCATTAAAATATTATTTAGTGACAAGCACAGTGCCATGGGTAAGTAATTTGAAGTTTGAATTGCAGCCTTTTATGAAGCATGAAATGCTCTCATATGTCACAGATTTCACTTAACCCAGGAATTTGATGTTAATACATTAATTACAGGTAATAAAAAATAGCAATACTCCAGAGTTAACCCAAAGTATTAATTTCTCCAAATGAGATATACTAATACACCAGAAACACTACCTATATGCAAGTCAAAGCAGAGCATACATTTTTCTGTACTCAAAACTGTTAACGTAAATATTAGAATTCTTTTAGTGTTTAACAGCAAACACTGTATATTGTAGAGCCTAAATATTTAGATGACAGTAACTTCTAGTTAGTTTTGGTGTCCACATACTTAATGCTATTTACAGTACAACAAACTTTTCCTTCAACTGGCATGATTCACTATTCATTTTTCACTGCAGTATTTCTATTGTCTTACCAAAAGCAAACCGAATTCATTAACCTAAGGAACAATTCAAGTGGCAGTAGCACACTTGGTCAAAAAACAACACCTACTGTCTAAACTTTTGAGAAGCTATTGTACTAAAAGGCAAACATTGCAATGTTTCTCAAACGAAAGTGGTGTTACCACATCTTGACAGAAGACAGCTGTAAAACATCAGCTTGGTGATTGGTGCACATCACCCTTCTGTCAGTCCTAATTGCAGCTTTCTTGTGGTTACTGCAGCGGCTGCTTCCTCTGCAAAGTACTGCAGTTGTGGCTGACTTGTAATGCCATTTAGCAGCTTTCATTACAGAGCCAACATCTAATGACCAGCAAGGTCTCTGCTGATTCCGATTTGAAAACCTCTGAAATAGTCCTCTTCCCGCATAATTCAGAAAGAACTTTTTCATATATTCAATATTATATTAGGTAATTAGCATTATATATGTATATCTATTATGTCTTTAAATACATTTTATAAATAAATTCCAACAGTGTGTTGTAAAGTAAGTAATGCATAAAAGTTTCACAATTTAAATAAATATTTTTCACATTCCAATTCAGCTTCTTACAAGCTCATCTTTATTTCATGCCTTAGTTCTGAAGCAATGTTTCTGCTTCAATACAAGAGGTAGATTTGATAGAGACTGGGCAAGTCAAGCCTACTGCCAAAAATTCAACTGTCAGTAACTATATTGCTGATATGAAATTTGAGACTACATGAAAATTCAGAACTACTACCTAAAATCCTACCAAGTCTTAGCTAAACAGTTCTTGTTAAATCACATTTAATGCTTTTAGACATGATTACTCACAGTTTTTTTCTGTACATAAGAGATAATGAAGAACACAAATACAAAACAGAGAACAGTTGTCTCTAACACAATATATAAAAGTGCATGAGCTGTTTCTTCATCTATTTCTGTAAAACATATTCAGCTTTTCCTCTAACTTTGGCCATAAAGAAAAGACCTCAGAGAAAAAAAACCCCAAACCATACAAGTGTTTAAATTTTATGCTTATATTCACTTCAGTAGTTTAGAGCTGAAACCCCTCCATTGGAGCCTCCTGCTGTTGAAACACAAACTGCTGCTGACTTTCATCCACCTGAGGTGCAATACTGGAGTCCTCTTCTTCAACACCAAAATAATGTTCTATGAGTTCAAAAGCCTTTTGGTAGATCTCTTGGTTTTCATGCCTCTGAAGAAATTCAATTTTATCCAGTCCTAAATTCAAAACAGAAATTTTTCAAATATATAGTTACTTAAATGAATTATGAATTCAAACAGCTTTTAGTACAGCAGTACTTCTTAAGGCAAAAAGATGCAATCCCAAGTCACCTCAATTAATTTGATATCACTGGTTCTTATTTCCTAACCTATGTATTTCTAGTCTTCATTTTCTGCTCTCCAAACTCATCTTAAAACTAAGCTAGAAGCATTTCAATTAAACTAATATCCCGATTTCTATTCTTCTACTCTTAAGTCTTCCCCAACTCTAAATTCTATCTCACTCATGGAGCCATCAGTGGGCACAGTCTGGTATCTTTTTTGAATTTAATTGTAAGATTTAAAGATAGTACCTTTTGGAAAACTTATCATTTTGCAAGTAGAGAACATAATTCAGTCAAAGGTGCAGAGGTTAAGTGTTAGGCAGTCAGTTAGGCTAATATAAAATTCCTGCTTAGCTTTTTAAGGTAATGTAGTTTTCACTTAGGATGGATTAGAAAGAGCTCAAATGAACCCTTCTAGTGACTGCAGAGGCCAAAGCAATGATGGTGATATAATCAGCTGCTTTCCTTACTTGAACTTATACTCTACAGCTTCAGCAGCCCATGCTTAAGTGCTAAAGCAAAGAGAACCTAGAGAGTCAATACTTAAAATTATGAATGGACAGAAAATCTGTAATACAATAAATTCCATTAAAGTCTTCAGTACTTACTCCTCCTATGCATTTAATTGCTAAGTTCTTCAAGCATGCACTTGATTTTAAAAAGTGAACTCTGTAACAGGGAATTCAGATGTAAAGACTGCTTTACAGTAAAGTTAGTACTATCTAATCAGATACAATGTGGTCAATTAGAACTACAGTTCTATTAGTTACTAGCAGTTTCTGAAATACAAATGTCTGACAATTTTGTTTTGTAAGAGCTACAAAAAAGGCAATTCTCCAATAAGAATGCCAGTTTCATTATAATCCAATTGTGAAAAAATAGTAATGAAATTCCACAAATTAGAATGGTTTATATAGAGGTTTAATTCAAGAACTTTGTAACAGAGTAAACAAAATACTTGCAAAAAAACCCCAAAAGCTTATTTGGTTTTATGACCTGAAATTGATTTTGCTGTTACTAATATTTACTATATTAATAAGTGATCCAACATTAGGATCAATTAAAAAAGCCCTGATATTACATTCCTGTTGGTAATGAAACTGTAGCAGACAGGACTATGTG